AGATGTTGCCGAGAGAACTCCGAAATTCGCTCTGCTGAGCAGGTGAGGAATACCCAGGCACATAGATCTCGTCGAGAAAATTCTCAGATTCGCTCTGCTGAGCAGGTGAGGAATACCCAGGCACATAGATCTCGTCGAGAAAATTCTCAGATTCGCTCTGTTGAGCAGGTGAGGAATACCCGACAGCATAGATCTCGCCGCGAAAGCTCTCAAATTTGATCTGCTGAGCAAGAGAGGAATACCGAGGGACATAGATATCGCCGCCAAAACTCTGCAATTCGCTCTGTTGAGCAGGTGAGGAATACCCAAGAGCATAGGTCTCGTAGAGAGAATCCTCAGATTCGGTCTTTTGAGCAAATTATAAATACGATACAACATAGAAATCGCCGTGAAAATTCCGTAATTCGTACTGTAGAGCAAAGCAGGAATACCCTACAGCATAGGTCTCGACGCGAAAATTCAGTAACTCGGTCTGTGGAGCAATCCAGCAATACTGAATCCTGCGCAGCAGAAGTGAATACAGACATTTGGAACGATTACGTGATCGTACCCAAAGATACCAAGCTCGATTAGATGCTGGACGTAGGGAAAATGAGCGTATTCGGGAAACTGAACGTCGCCGACTCACAAGAAGAGAAAATCGGGATGAAACGTCTGATTTGAGACGGCGAATTCAATGTCGAGTACGTATTCATAGAGTTGACATAGAAAATAGACAAGTTGAAAATGAGAGGCAGTCAGAGCGAATTCGATCAATACGTGATAGTAATGCTGATAATGAAGATTCTGAAAATGGTGCAGGCTTTAGTAACTTCAGACGCACTTATTTACAAAGCATTAAAAAGGGGCCAACAATAGTTTGTATTTCCTGTGGGGGTTTATGGTTTCCACACCAAGTACGCCAATTAAACTTCAATTTAGTTTCCCAAAGCCACCCGAATGTTGCATCAGCCTTCTATCTTTCGGATAAATTCCCCTCCGAAAATGGAAATTTTAATTTTTGTGTGACTTGCAGAAATGCAATATTGAATAAAAAGCTCCCAAAGTTATGTCTCGCTAATGGACTAGATTTTCCAGAAATACCTGATTGCCTGAAGAATCTAACACCTATAGAAGAGCGTCTTATTATGCCCAGATTACCATTCATGACGATTCGCCCATTAGGGTATCAAGGGCAAGGTTCACTAAAAGGTGCTGTTGTAAATGTCCCTATTTCCGTGAATGACATTGTGACATGTCTTCCTCGATCGTTTGATCAAACACATGTCATTCAAATTCATTTGAGAAGGCGTATGGAATACAGTCACGATTATATGACGGATACCATACGACCTGCAAAAATTATGGAAGCTTTGCGGTTTTTAGTTAACACCCCTTTGTACCGTAAGCACAATATTGAAGTCAACGAAAATTGGATTTCGAACTTTACTAACCAAGAGGAAGTCCCTTTTATTGCGTCTGTCGAAGATGCTCCGTTGATTGAAAATATTTATAGGGAACAAGTTATTTCCCATAATATATCCTCCAATGTTCACCCACCCGTTGAACCTGTTGTTGAAGAGCCTAATGTTGGTGGCCAAGAAACTTTTCTTGATAATGTTCCTGTAGAGAACGTTGACATTAACCGTCTGGTGATAGCTCCCGGCGAGGGCCAAAGGCCTCTTGATATAATACAAGATAATGACTCAGAAGAATTGTCATTCGCTACAATTTATGCTGGGCAAAAGCGCACTTGTACAGAGACGTACAACAAAATTGTACGATCTGAAATCCGCCGGTATGATAGAAGGGCTTGCACCTTACCTAAATTATTTTACGACTACAAAAAGCTAGAATTATTGCAAATTAAGAACAGCACGTCAGTTTGCCTTCGAAAATTTGCCGGTCGTAACCAAGTCACAGCTCAAAATCTTTTAAATGATAACTTTGTTCAAAGCTTGATTCAGCATGATGATGGCTATAAGGTTCTGAAAGGTGTCAGATCTTCTCCTGCGCACTGGGAGGCGGAGAAGAAAAAGGCTATTGCCATGATTCGCCAATTTGGTCTCCCTACCTTCTTTATTACTCTATCAGCTGCTGAGTCCCAGTGGCTGGAGCTATTAGTGATTTTAGCTAAAACAGTCGACGACAGAGAAATCTCTGAGGAAGACGCCAATAATTTGTCAACTCAAGAGCGATATCATCTTATCCGTTCAGATGCTGTCACCTGTGCTAGGTATTTTGACTATCGTTTCCGTCAAATGCTTAAAATTTTCAAAACAAGCCGGGGCATCTTTGACGAACATTCTGTTAAGAATTTCTATTGGAGAGTTGAATTCCAACAAAGAGGTTCCCCTCACATACATGGAATGTTTTGGCTTATTAACGCCCCAAAAATCGACCTACAAAATCCTCTTACTTTTCCGGATGCTATTAGTTTCATTGATAAGTATATTTCCACGGATGGTTCCGTAAGCCACTTGGAAAACTATCTTGGATATCAAAAGCATAACCATAGTCGTTCCTGTACAAGAGAATAAGGGGACAACAGGTTTGCCGATTTGGTATTCCTTACCCACCTATGCCTTCCACCCAAATTTTATTACCTTTGTCAGAAAACGTAGAAAACTTGGAAGTGCATAGGGAAAACTACTTTAAAATACAAAACTTTTTGAATTCCAATCTTCTTTCGGCTGATATTTCCAACTTAAGTAATTTTGAAAGTTTTCTCACAGACCAAAGAATAAATATTTCATTCGATGATTACTTGCTTGCGCTAAGATCGAGTTTAGCAAAACCAAAAATCTTTTTGAAGAGAAAACTAGAAGATCGATTCATTAACGCATACAACCCCATTATTTTAGAACTACATAAAGCCAATATGGATATCCAGTTTATATTGGATGCATATGCCTGCTGTTCATATATTATTAACTATATAAACAAATCAAATAGAGGGATTTCTAGGCTCTTAAATGAAGCAATAACAGAAGTGAATGCCGGTAACTATACTATTAAGCAAAAACTTCAGCATATAGGACACAAATTTATTTCTGGTACAGAAATATCCGCCCAAGAAGCAGTTTATTGCAGTATTGGACTTCATCTATCGGAAGCGAGCAATGCGGAAGTCTTTATAAATACCTCTCGTCCTGAAGAACGAGTGCGGATGGTAAAACCTAGAGCGCAACTTCAGAATCTTCCATCGGACTCGACCGACATATTTGTTTCTGGAATTTTAGAGCATTATGTTCAGCGACCGACTCAATTAGAAACCGTATGCTTAGCTGATTTTGCATCTCTTTATACATATGTAAAGTCAGCCATAAGGATAGCAGGTAGTGATGATGATGAAGATGGTAGGGAGGCTGACGACTTCCTTGGGCATGGGAATGCTCTTCCTCTGAGAGACGGTAGTGGTTTCGTTAAAAGACGTACCAAGCCATGTGTCATCAGGTCCAGAAGATTTAGCCCCGATACCGCCAGAAGTGATTACTTCAGGGAAATGGTAATGCTTTACCATCCATGGCGTGATGAACATCGGGGCCTCATTGAAAATGATAACGAACAAACTTGTGTAGAAAATCATGTTTCAATAGAGGAAAATCAAAGACAGTATGATGTTTTTGATCAACGAGAGCTCGAAAATGTTTTAAATCATCTTCGCGATGAAGTAGATGTTGAAACAATTGAGCAACATAACCCACCTGTTGTAGATAACGAGTTTAGGGTTCTAGCACTTCCCGAAATAGACCCTGGCTTGAATTTGCTAGATATAAATGAAGGAGATCCATCTAATAATGATGGGGACTCAGGCGGGAATGTAAGACTAATAAAACTCCCACCTTTGATCCCCGTAGAAAACCTTCTTTTTTTAGTTCGTAGTCTAAACTTGAAACAGAGAACTTATTTGACCCATATGCTGCACAATATGAAAAATAATCAGCCATATTATGAGTTTGTGGGAGGTGGAGCAGGAGTTGGAAAGAGTCGTTTGATATATGCAATATATCAGACTCTTAACCATCGGCTAAACTCCGTTCCTGGAACCAATCCAAGTTCGTTGAAAGTTCTTCTTTGCGCCCCTACAGGAAAGGCAGCTTTCGGAATAAATGGTTTAACACTTCACTCTATCTTTTCACTTCCCGTAAATCAATCAAGTCTAGAGTTGCGGCCACTTAGCAATGATGTCGTTAACTCAATCTACTCAAAACTCATTGATTTAAAATTAATAATCATTGATGAAATATCAATGGTAGGGGCACGAATGTTTAGTTCAATCGATGCTAGACTTAAACAAATCTTCAAAAGCAATAATGCATTTGGAGGTATCCCCATTATTGCTTTTGGTGATTTAAAGCAACTTTCGCCAGTTGGAGATAGGTGGATTTTTTCTCCCAATCCTAGTGACAATTACAGTACTTTAGTTGGGTCACCTTTGTGGGAATTATTTAAATACTTTGAGTTAACTGAGGTAATAAGGCAAAGAGGGGATCAGCCTTTTGCTATCGCTTTAAATAATATGGCATCCGGTACTATGACAAATGATGACATATCTTTAATCGAAAGCCGTGTGGTTAACTTGAATCAAATTCCTGATGATGCAATCCACCTTTTCTGGTCCAACGAAGAATCTAATAATTTCAATGCACTCAAACTTAGTCTTATCCCCACGCCAACTATTCTTTCAACTGCTAAGGATGTAGTCAAAGGGATAGGTGTGGGCGCGCAAGCTTCGAATATTTTGGAGAGAGTTCGCCTTTTCAAATCTTCGGAAACGCAAGGCCTTTCATATAATTTGACATTAAAAACCACAGCCAAATATATGATTACTGTAAATATCAATACAGGTGATGGACTAGTAAATGGGGCTACGGGGCAGCTTATGCATATTGATTTCGAATTTTCCATGCCATCAACTATTTGGTTAAAATTTTTAGAACCATCTGTGGGTTTGTTGGCGAGATCAAAAAAGTCTCATCTGGGTGATACTTCTTGGACACCAATTGAAAAGACAGTGAGAGCTTTTCAATATAGGAGGAATGAGCAGATTACAATCGAAAGAACCCAATTTCCGGTTGTTCCCGCTGAGGGAATAACTATCCATAAAAGCCAGGGTGCTACGTATAACAAAGTCGTTGTACACACCCGGCCCAGGATGCCCAGGGCAGCTTTGTATGTAGCTTGCAGCCGAGCCACTAGTGCAGATGGTCTCTTTATACAAGGGAATTTTCAGCCACCTAATCCATTTTCGGCATCGGACCCAGTATATAAAGAACTTATTGAATTGAGTACCTCAAAAGCCCTTACTCCAACCTTCCACTTCATGTTGTCACGAACATCAAAACTACAAATTTTATATCATAATGCTCAGAGCCTTCATGCTCATATAGATGATGTTAGAAACGATTACCTGATGCTATCTTCGGATATATTATGTTTCGTCGAGACATGGAGCTATCCTTCGGAAAATTTTGAAATTCCTGGTTTTATTCTATTAAATGAGCTAAGGATAGATAGCACCACAACACGGAATAGGAATAAGAGAGGAATTTTAGTATATGCAAAGTCTGAGATTGCTTCATCAATTCAACTTTGCAGAATTATAAAAAAGTATACTGGCCATAAGTCTTTAGAAGCCGTACTATTCAAACATCTTAACATATATGTGTTGGTGCTTTACAGGAATTCCGTTTTTCCTATCGGAGATATGGCATCAGTGCTCCGAGACATTCTCAGTAATGACTTGTGTAATCAAAAAGTTATTATTGTCGGGGATTTCAATCTATGCCTTAGAACTTATGGGAATAGAATAGCAAATCTTCTAGGAGAATGTAGTCTTAGATCGCTATTAGATTCGGAATGTTCGACAACTCTTGCAGGATCTCAAATTGACTGGGCATTTTCGAACATAAATGGTACTCAAATTAAAGCAGTTGTATATGAAACAGTTCACAGTTACCATGACAGTATCTGCATTTCCGTGTCTGATTTAATTCCTTCCTCTTAACCGTCTCAATAAAAGTTATTTTGTACATACTTTCTCTTCTCTCATAAAAAAAAACTATTGTAATTAAATATTTATTGTACACATACATATATATAGGAATATAGAAAATAAATAAGCAAATATTCGAAATGTTTTAATGAAGAAAATTTAAATTTTGTTAACTTTAATCTCAAATATTTTATTACAAATAAATGAAATAAGTGAAAAATATTCGATGATGTAATAAACCATTTTTCCAATTAGACATATGTACATGTTGAAATAAGTATATTAATAGCTGTAAAGAATAACTTAAGCAAATATTTGTAAACATCTTTTAAAATAAAAATTAATTTATAACTATTTGAATAAATATTATTTTAACGATTATTTAAACAACTTTCTTAAACTTTTTGAAACAAAATTGCAAATTGGTTTATACCTTTTTTCAAAGTGGACGTCGCATTGGCCACTTACATGTGTACATGAAAACTCGAAACATTAATTATTTCAGTAGCTCCTGAAATATACATGTCTATGTAATATGTAAAGTGATCTCTTAGCAAAACTTTTATTGCTAAAAAATTTTTTACAATGGTCGTGGAACCGTTCATTTATGATTTAATATATGTACTAAAAAATCACATTCACATTCATTAATTGACTTCATTGCTTTTCAGCTCACCAAAAAAAAACACGCCCACCTAATATGCAACACATTACTTTTAATTTAGGTATATACATAATATTGCGAGGGTATATAAAATTTGGGCTCGACCGAATTTAGCCATTCTTACTTGTTGTTGTTCATTACTTCCACTTCCACTGCTGTTGACATAACGAATTTGCATGACACGTAGCCGCTGTTGACAAATGAAATGGCATAGCGATAACTCAAGTAGCCAATCAGCATTTGCAGGTCAGCGCATATTTGCTTAATGAAAAAGGGATATTTTTAGGTCTCTTGCAAAGTCAGCACTTCTAATCGAAATGGAAATTAGATGAGGCAGCAATTGAGTTTTCTTGATGTCCCCTAGCATTCATTATGTTTTCCAAAGAAAAACACTAAACGGTAAATTGTACGGACGTTTTAGCAAAACTTTGAAAATTTGAAAAAAGAGTGTTTCCTAAAGTGGATAATTTTTACATAGAAAGCACCATAATAGTAACTATAGAGGCCATTTTTGGCTTTTGTAATTCTATGGGTACTTCCTATAACTTGCAGGCGCAGCTGCAAATGAAATTCGGCCGTCCTTTAGAAGTGAAATCGGGTTTTGAAGCTTAATATGTACTTTGAGAAATATACATATTTCGTAGTGATCCGCGAAAACTCCAATTACCTAGTCCCTCGGCATATCATGTGTAATGGGATGGTTATTAAAGAGAGAAGTTCGGAATATTAGATCACGGTCACTTTGGCCAGAACTTTGAAGAAATGTTGCCTTTTCTGCCCTCAAATAAACGTTAGGGTGAGAGTTGCACGGTTGATTCTTAATTTACGCTTGAAAAAAAAAAATTATTTTTCGCATCAGAAATAAGTGTTTTCCTATGAAATTAATTAAAGACTTACAGTGCAATTAAGTAAATCAGTTGTATTAAGTTCTAGAAATGAACTTCTGAAGGAGTAGCATATTTTCTGTTTCATTATCATATGAAGAACGCAACATTTTCTCAGGTTTCAGGGCAACGCAAAGCAAGAGTTCCCATATAAAAAGGGGAAAACTTATTTTGAGAAAGTTTTTCTTAAACCAGTATTTGAAAAAAGTTCAAAAACAGCATCAAAAATCTCGTTATTATGATTCCGTAAAAAATTTTTTTTAAATATTTTTATGCAAATTTTTTAAGCTGTCTAGTCACCACACACACAGTCACAGGTAATTTTTTTCAAAACATATTAAAGAAATGCTTTTATTAATAAAAAACTAAATTTTTGGAGGTATTTTCAAATCGGTCCAGCTCACGTAAATCTTAATATTTTTGCGAGATATTTTGGTCGAAGTCTTAAAATATAATACATTTTATAATTGCAGTGGAAAAACAGTACCAATTTTTTTTGTGTGGGGATTGATGCAGTCTCACCTCTCGATTGCATTTATCCCATTGCACTTATCTCTTCAACATTACAAATCTCTTATACACCTGGTCAGTTTATGCCACTAAGCGTGCTTGAGTATTTATGTAAGTGGCAAATTTTGTTTTGTATGAATACTACATATGGATATGTAAGTATAAGTATAGTAGTATAGTAGTATATACAACACTTGCTCAGCTAGTGTGTGAAATTTAATTTATTTCCCTTTACTCGTTTCATCTAGAAATATGAGAGGTGAAATAAAATTCAAAGCTATTGCTTTTAAAAGAGAAAAAAACTAGAAGCTAACTACATATGTATGTATGTAAGTGTATACGCGCGTACATACTAATCGAAGGCGTTGAATCAGCACATTTTTAACGGATTACTTCTTAACAAACTTTGCAGTGGGCTGCAGTTAAAGTAAGACAGCAAGATGGCGAATCAGTCACTCGGTCTATGAACCGAGCCCAACTAAACGGTCATGTCTATGCCAATTTGATTACCCAGCGCGTATCGGTGATGTCTTCGAAAGCTGATATCCCCGTCGTCCTTGTGTGCATTGCCCACAGGCGGCTATCTACCGCAACGGTTACATGTAGCGTATACTATGTAGTATATACAGCGTGTCAATGTGGACAAAAATAAAAGAAGTGTGACAAGAGTCGTGCTGTCTTTTCCACTTATTTTTTCCGCTTCTTCATAAAACTTCCTTTGGTAGGTCATGAAGGCAGCGAGTCTATCCGTTCACTTCTAGCAGTTG